TTTTATATTTGATTTTATTATTTTTATCATATGAAGAAAGGTTCAAACAAATCTAAACAATTCACAAAATTATTCAAAAGAAAATATTAAAAGAGTAAACTCATGGGGTGTTATGCTGAAGTCAGGGGATGCTGAAACAGTCTGACCGCTAGGCCCAACACTGACTGTCTAGGAGTAGGCCTTTTTGATTCCAACTACATCAAGTATGCCAAAAACAATAACGGGCTTGGGGGTGTGATCTGGAATCCAGGATGGCCGGAGAAATCTGGGCGCTAAGGCCCAGCTCAAAAGATCCATACGCAGTTTTTTGTGTGCAAGCATCAATTACCAAAAAACAACGAATGGGCTTATGGAAGCAAGAATCGATCCAAGGTTCATAAAATAATTCAGTCCAAATCACCTACAGCCCATGCCAATTCTGATTCCCTTAATCACACTTTCAATTCAATTAACACTTAATCAAAATTAAACCAACAAAATGATAAACAAAATGCAGAATTCAAGTGTTTAGGGTTAAGAAGTTGTGTGACTCTTGGAGTCTTTATCGCGAATCCTTCCCCATTTCTGCAAATGGAAGAACTTTGGAGCTTTTTTTTCAACGATGCACCACGATGGTGTGATTTGTTTCCCCTCTCCTCCGTCGATTCTCCCGTAATGTGCCATCACGTTTCTCCATCAGCGGCCTCCTTCTATCCCCAATTCTGACCAATAATCCATAATTCCTCTCAAAATCGAAACCCTTGGACGTCCTAAGGCTTCAATTAAGTAATGCCGACACCTCTACTCGAGCTAAAACCAGATGCCCCGGAATAGGGTATATATCTAGCATGTGTATTGCAATCAGAAGAGATGTTTGTGGGAAGAGGACCCCAAAGATCAGAGCTTTAACAATAGAACTTCCACCGGATGAAGAAATAACTGGATGTAATACATTGGGGTCGCATAAATATCCTCATCAGGCTTCTTTTATCTTGGCTTAAAAACTTCACCCCATGAATTCACTTGGAGAATAAAGATTGCCTGCTGTTGAACAGATCAGGGAACGCAAGGCAGTGGAGAATACCCATGATTGAATAGTCGGATGCCCCAGCGTAGTAACCACATCTGACGTTGGTCAAGAAGGATGAAGCACTTATGTAAGATCTCATAGTAAATGGTAGCCATCTGTTGATAAGATGTTCCAAGAACTCAAGATTGTGGCACTCCATGGTTGAAAATAATTCCCGAAAGGTGAGGGGAAGAGCGAACCTGCTGCAGCAATAAGTGCAAGATTGTTGACATCATTATCAGAGTTTCCATGTCCTGGCTTATCTGAGTCTTCAATCATTTATCTTCCTGCTTGAAGAGGTTTCTGACCACGGGCCGAAGCTTGCATGTATACCACACGGAGTTATTCCATAACTGATCCTTGAACAAGTGCAGCAAGAAACAAGTTGAACCTCTGAGGAGAACACATGGTCTGAGTAAGAATCCCTAATCTTCGAGTACCTTTTATGAATGCATGAATATACATGGGGTGCATGAATGAATGCCATGTCATGTTCTGTCATTTCCAAGGGATTTACATGTTTTGATTTTGATTTTATGCAAGTAAAAGATGGAAAGGTTCAACACAAGGCTTACAAATATGATTCCTTGAAAATAATAGAACATGTATGTTAAGCATGTGGTTAACCATGTTATGTATGCAAACACATAGGATCAAATGGGATCAAGGTTCCATCATTCCTGAACATGATTGTTGCACTGTTCGGAATCATTTGAATATCATCAAGTCAAAGGTCTGGCATAGCTTCCACACATATAAGAACCAAGTACCATGTAGATCTCCCATTGTACGGGATCAATGCTTCTGGAACCAGATATTGTTGAGTCTTCTCTGAACATGCTGGAAATTCCAAGATCAAAGGCTCGAACGGACCTCAAAGTTAACAAATCAAGAACTCAGAAAATAAATCTGAGAACCATATGGTCACCAACAGAATATAACATCTGCATAAAGTCACTGACAGAAATCCAGAACATAGCCATTAGAACCAATAGTCACCGTCTGAGCATAGTCACCATCTGAACATAGTCACCAACTGTACCTGTGATAATAATTCCCTTCCCACTCACGGGTGAAAATTAGGTCAAGGTAAGGTCGGGTAACTCAGAATCGAGGGTACTCCTGAAAAACTATCGCAGTATTAGCTACGTGAAAACGATAGTCCCTCATCTGAGCGTGGACGACATGGTGGCAACAGTGAGACCTAAGTCAACTAGTCGTTCATGTTCGACTCTATTCCTAGGGTTCCTATGATATACAACTCTGATCTGGGTATTGGGCCTTTTACTTCAATAGTAACACCCACCCAATAAGAAGCAGATCCAGTACAACAGTAGTATATGGAAGACAGTAAAATGCAATGCATACATATGCTCAAGTATATACAAAATGAATGAACAAAGGGAAAGCATAAAAATAAACACCCAAAGAAAAGAAAACAAGAGCTAGGAGCGACTCCGGGATGGACCAGCATTTGGTCGATCTATCCCCAGTGAAGTCATCAGCTGAAACAACCGGTTGAAAATCATCAAACAATGAAGTCTCCATCGAACGTCTTTTATCCCACATGGAGGGAAAGGTAAACATCAAGAAAACCTAAAAAGGGAGAAGTCACGGTCTTGCGACCGAGAGATCGGGTAAGGGAGTCTGTTACGCGAGGGGAAGGTATTAGTACCCCACGCGCCCGTAGTACTCTACGGTATCCATTCTTGTTGTCTATCTTATGGGTGTATTTAATCTATGTTTACTGTTTACTATACTACTGAAGGGAGAATGCATGCAAGAGAAAGGGGAGAAGAATATAGGGAAAATAAAATTGTACTCGCTTGGGCCCTATCCCAATGCCTACGTATCCTTTTTGAGGAATCAGAGATACCGTAGTTCGGCTCACATGTTTTTGTTCGTTTGTGTTTTTTAATGGACAATGTTAATTCCGCCTTCTGCCGCAGCTCGACCTTTGGAGACTTATGCGTTGGCACAGAAGTAAATTAATCATGTCATTACCTGAAAAGGGTTTTGAGAAAAGGTGCTGGAGCGCACAAAATGGTTTGAATTGGTTTGTGTTTTATTACCTTGAAAAAGAGTTTAAGTATGATTATAATGTTTTTGATTTGCTAAGAAAAGAAATTTTTGTTTTAGATGCAAGGATTCAAAAAGGGGAAGAAAAGAGTCTAAGGGGGACTAGCCTATATCTAACCTAATGTTATCATACAATGATAGTCCTAAGATTTGGATTAACAAAAAGGGAAACGTCTACCTAATGTTAGCATGCATAGTTTGCAACCTATGGTCTAACTTGCATCTGAACGGAGAAAGCACGTCCTAAGGGAAAATGGTATGTACCAGAATAAATCAAACAAGCCAATAAGCTCAAGAGAGCACACCTGAAGAGATCTTATCTAGGTTAGCATGCCAAAGAAAGTCTACCAAAACTATCCTATAGGGAACATGCAATGAGAGCGAAGTCGTATTCTCAATTTCTAAATTGAGTGACTCATCGATCAACAAGAAATAAAGGAAAGCGATAAAATCCTACATGGAGCATGCACTGAGAGCGAAGTCGTGATCTCAATTTCTAAATTGAGTGACTCATCGATCAACAATCATAGAAACAAACACAAGCACAACACATATAACAAATGAAGTACGGAATGCCTGTTACAGGTCTTTAAACAGCGACTTCGAGCGCACGCTCTCTATTTCCTACTTCTCATGGTATCTAGAAAATAATAAAGTACGAAATAAGATAAAAAATAGAAAGTACCAAACAGATATCCACCCATAGCGAAGCGTATCAAAACAAAGAAATCCGACGATCTTCGAGAAAAGCTTCACCAATCAAAGAGAAAAATCAAAAATCAAACGCTCGGAATGAGTATCGAAGCATCATCGATGTGAAAATAAATCACAATCGAAAATCTCAAGCGCATCGGCATATCACGCTATAAACATGCATTAGACTCAAATCTCAACAAGCAAAGGTGAATTACCAATATCAAATATAATCGGATAATTGGGATTTAATTCATAAAACTAAATAAATAAAAATATAACAAATTTTATATTTGATTTTATTATTTTTATCATATGAAGAAAGGTTCAAACAAATCTAAACAATTCACAAAATTATTCAAAAGAAAATATTAAAAGAGTAAACTCAGGGGGTGTTATGCTGAAGTCAGGGGGTGCTGAAACAGTCTGACCGCTAGGCCCAAAACTGACTGTCTAGGAGTAGGCCTTTTTTATTTCAACTACATCAAGTATGCCAAAAACAATAACGGGCTTGGGGGTGTGATCTGGAACAACTTCGAAAACAAGTCAATTGAAGATCTTATCGGTATTTTGCACGGAACGTATCAATTTGGAATTTTTGATATCGCTGAAGGTGTTTTGGTGAGTAAAAAAGATGAATTGGAGGGATCAATGAAGAAGAATTTGGGAACTATAAAAGAGTTGAGGAGGGAAAATGGTAAATTGGCGGATGAGAAGAGACGAGTTGAGGAATTGCTTGAGTCTTCGAACACGAAGTTTCGCGGATTAAATGAAAGAGTTGGAAAATTGGAGAATGATGTTATCTTTTTGCTGAGTGTTGATGCTTCTGGTGATTGTTGAGTGTTGGATTGTAAAACAACGCGGTTTTACTATTTATTTTCAGTAGGTTCATAAACAATGGAGAGAGCTCTCGTGTTGACGACAAATTTCCACCAGTGGATGTATAGTATTTATTGCAAAAGTACTTCATGTGAGAAAAAGTACTACAAACGAAAAACATGTTTTTTAACTAAACAGTCGTTGTTTGTTTCATGTTCATTTTTGTCCCATTTCCCTTCGATACGACATCGTTTTCATCTTCTTCCTCACTCTATTATAACCATTTTCCCTCTTTATTCTTCTCTAAGCGCCATTTTCATCTTCTTTCTCTTTTCTCACTCGTTTCTCTCCATACCGAACCATGAACATTGAACCCAAAATCGAACCCGGTTCACCACCGTGGCCCATTCCCACGAACCCTAACAACTTCGAAAACAAGTTGATTGAAGATCTTATCGGTATTTTGCACGGAACGTATCAATTTGAAAATTTTGATATCGTTGAAGGTGTTTTGGTGAGTAAAAAAGATGAATTTGAGGGATCAGTGAAGAAGAATTTGGGAACTATAAAAGAGTTGTGGAGGGAAAACGGTAAATTAGCGGATGAGAAGAGACGAGTTGAGGAATTGCTTGAGTCTTAAAACACGATGTTTTGCGGACTGAATGAAAGAGTTGGAAAATTGGAGAATGATGTTATCTTTTTGCTGAGTGTTGATGCTTCTGGTGATTGCGAGAATGAGGGGGGGACCTCGTGTGGAGCCTATTGTTGCTGATTTTGAAGACAAAGATAGAGATGTTTGTGATATAAACCTCATTTCTTCATCTACGCATCAATCCTCGTGTTGAAGAAAATCCTACTTTCTTGGTCTACCCCGTTGAAGATAACCCTTGTGTCAAAGGACTGTACAACCGCGTGGTTTATCTGTTGGATTGTAAAACAACGCGGTTTTACTGTTTATTTTCAGTAGGGTCATAAACAATGGCGAGAGCTCTCGTGTTGACGACAAATTTCCACCAGTGGATTTATAGTATTTATTGCAAAAGTACTTCATGTGAGAAAAAGTACTACAAACGAAAAACATGCTTTTTAACTAAACAATCGTTGTTTGTTTCATGTTCATTTTTGTCCCATTTTCCTTCGATACGACATCGTTTTCATCTTCTTCTTCCTCACTCTATTATAACCATTTTCTACCCCGTTGAAGATAACCCTCGTGTGAAAGGACTGTAAAACCGCGTGGTTTATCTGTTGGATTGTAAAACAACGCGGTTTTACTGTTTATTTTCAGTAGGTTCATAAACAATGGCGAGAGCTCTCGTGTTAATGACAAATTTCCACCAGTGGATTTATAGTATTTATTGCAAAAGTACTTCATGTGAGAAAAAGTACTACAAACGAAAAACATGCTTTTTAACTAAACATTCGTTGTTTGTTTCATGTTCATTTTGTCCCATTTGCCTTCGATACGACATCGTTTTCATCTTCTTCTTCCTCACTCTATTATAACCATTTTCCCTCTTTATTCTTCTCTAAGCGCCATTTTCATCTTCTTTCTCTTTGCTCACTCGTTTCTCTCCACACCGAACCATGAACATTGAACCCAAAACCGAACCCGGTTCACCACCGTGGTCCATTACCACGAACCCTAACAGGTCTACCCCGTTGAAGATAACCCTCGTGTTAAAGAACTGTAAAACCGCGTGGTTTATCTGTTGGATTGTAAAACAACGCGGTTTTACTGTTTATTTTCAGTAGGTTCATAAACAATGGCGAGAGCTCTCGTGTTGACGACAAATTTCCATCAGTGGATGTATAGTATTTATTGTAAAAGTACTTCATGTGAGAAAAAGTACTACAAACGGAAAAACATGTTTTTTAACTAAACAGTCGTTGTTTGTTTCATGTTCATTTTTGTCCCATTTCCCTTCGATACGACATTGTTTTCATCTTCTTCCTCACTCTATTATAACCATTTTCCCTCTTTATTCTTCTCTAAGCGCCATTTTCATCTTCTTTCTCTTTTCTCACTCGTTTCTCTCCACACCGAACCATGAACATTGAACCCAAAACTGAACCCGATTCACCACCGTGGCCCATTCCCACGAACCCTAACAACTTCGAAAACAAGTCGATTGAAGATCTTATCGGTATTTTGCGCGGAACATATCAATTTGAAATTTTTGATATCGTTGAAGGTGTTTTGGTGAGTAAAAAAGATGAATTGGAGAGATCAGTGAAGAAGAATTTGGGAACTATAAAAGAGTTGAGGAGGGCAAACAGTAAATTGGCGGATGAGAAGAGACGAGTTGAGGAATTGCTTGAGTCTTCGAACACGAAGTTTCGCGGACTGAATGAAAGAGTTGGAAAATTGGAGAATGATGTTATCTTTTTGCTGAGTGTTGATGCTTCTGGTGATTGCGAGAATGAGGGGGACCTCGTGTGGAGCCTATTGTTGCTGATTTTGAAGACAAAGATAGAGATGTTCGTGATATAAACCTCATTTCTTCATCTACGCATCAATCCTCGTGTTTAAGAAAATCCTACTTTCTTGGTCTACCCCGTTGAAGATAACCCTCGTGTCAAAGGACTGTACAACCGCGTGGTTTATCTGTTGGATTGTAAAACAACGCGGTTTTACTGTTTATTTTCAGTAGGTTCATAAACAATGGCGAGAGCTCTCGTGTTGACGACAAATTTCCACCAGTGAATTTATAGTATTTATTGCAAAAGTACTTCATGTGAGAAAAAGTACTACAAACGAAAAACATGCTTTTTAACTAAACATTCGTTGTTTGTTTCATGTTCATTTTTGTCCCATTTGCCTTCGATACGACATCGTTTTCATCTTCTTCTTCCTCACTCTATTATAACCATTTTCCCTCTTTATTCTTCTCTAAGTGCAATTTTCATCTTCTTTCTCTTTTCTCACTCGTTTCTCTCCACACCGAACCATGAACATTGAACCCAAAATCGAACCCGGTTCACCACTGTGGTCCATTCCCACGAACCCTAACAGGTCTACCCCGTTGAAGATAACCCTCGTATTAAAGAACTGTAAAACCGCGTGGTTTATCTGTTGGATTGTAAAACAACGCGGTTTTACTGTTTATTTTCAGTAGGTTCATAAACAATGGCGAGAGCTCTCGTGTTGACGACAAATTTCCACCAGTGGATGTATAGTATTTATTGCAAAAGTACTTCATGTGAGAAAAAGTACTACAAACGAAAAACATGTTTTTTAACTAAACAGTCGTTGTTTGTTTCATGTTCATTTTTGTCCCATTTCCCTTCGATACGACATCGTTTTCATCTTCTTCCTCACTCTATTATAACCATTTTCCCTCTTTATTCTTCTCTAAGCGCCATTTTCATATTCTTTCTATTTTCTCACTCGTTTCTCTCCACACCGAACCATGAACATTGAACCCAAAACCGAACCCGGTTCACCACCGTGGCCCATTCCCAAGAACCCTAACAACTTCGAAAACAAGTCGATTGAAGATCTTATCGGTATTTTACGCGGAACGTATCAATTTGAAATTTTTGATATCGTTGAAGGTGTTTTGGTGAGTAAAAAAGATGAATTGGAGGGATCATTGAAGAAGAATTTGGGAACTATAAAAGAGTTGAGGAGGGAAAACGGTAAATTGGCGGATGAGAAGAGACGAGTTGAGGAATTGCTTGAGTCTTCGAACACGATGTTTCGCGGACTGAATGAAAGAGTTGGAAAATTGGAGAATGATGTTATCTTTTTGCTGAGTGTTGATGCTTCTGGTGATGTTTTTTAACTAAACAGTCGTTGTTTGTTTCATGTTCATTTTTGTCTCATTTCCCTTCGATACGACATCGTTTTCATCTTCTTCCTCACTCTATTATAACCATTTTCCCTCTTTATTCTTCTCTAAGCGCCATTTTCATCTTCTTTCTCTTTTCTCACTGGTTTCTCTCCATACCGAACCATGAACATTGAACCCAAAACCGAACCCGGTTCACCACCGTGGCCCATTCCCACGACCCCACTGTAGTTTTAGAACAAAATAAGAAGGTTTTTTGGGGAAATTTTACTTTGAAGGAAATGTATAGGTTTGATATTATAACTCTCTCTTGCAGCATGTTTAATGGCACGTGCCTAAAGCTATAAGGAGAACAATACTATTACCTCTTAACCATCAATATATAATCTGAATTTTGCATTCTTGCACGGCCTCGGGATTGTACGAAACTGGACACCGTGGGAGATGGGTCAAATCTTATAACCAAATTAGAACTTTGAACATCTAAACCCTCTTCAAGAATTGATGTTGCAACAATGACATTGACCTACAGATTAAAATATTTCATCAATAAGTAATTAATAGTATTTGCTTATTACAGTCCAACAGATTATCTAAGAAATCAGCATACCAATCCCATACGAAATTCTTCCACGATTTCATTTTGACATTTTCGTGATTGACCTTGTAACTTACTACTGTTTCCTGCAATAAATTTAGTCCTCCAGCTATTGTATTTCGGAAGCAAAGTGTTCAGTAGAATCTCAAGGACAATAGTTGTGATGACCCTTTCCACAAAAACTATGCATCTCATTTCAGAGAAACCCCTGAAATTGTAGTAATCAAAACCAAAGCCAAAATGAGATAAAAAGACCACTAAAGACAATAAAAACAGAGATTAGCATTTTGAATACTTGAGCCATTTGAAATATTTTGAAAGAAACTTATTTATAATAACCTGTACTGAAGTAGACAGTCCATAAGACATGACACTTTGGAGGTCAATAGACCCTTTTCCACGTCCAAATTCATATTGTCACCAATACTCCACCGAGGATATGAATAAGAAGACATTCTTTAAATTTAATAAAAGAATATAAACAAAAGATTACATTAAAAATTTAACATGTTTTCTCAATGCTTGTAGAATTATTACCAAACAGTATATAACTTTGCAGTGTCATCATAGTAGCTGAACTAAACTTTTTGACAATTTGATCACCCGAGTGACCCCATAAGAAAGTTTCAATTTCAATCGTAGATAAAGACTCTGCAGCCTATCACATAAAAAAAAGTTGATAATTATGCAAACATGAACATAAAATAGTGACAAATGAATTCACTGCAGCAGAAGGGAGAGAACCTTCAAAGCCAACCAAACACAAAGCTCTTCCAAGCAAAATATTGAAGCAGTAAAAATCCTTGCTATTTTTCTGAGTGCGGTATCTACAGCTGATTCTGTTAAATCTGAATTTCTGATGTAAAACTCATGCTAAAAAACAAATTAGAACCTTTTCAAACTAATTATCAACTATGATCAGAAAAAAAAACATGCACTACTATAGCTTGGACTCGGAGACAAATGTGAGAAAGGGTAATAAAATAAGGTGTAGAGTAACTTTAGTTTAATTTGAAATCTATATTTGAACGTTAATGATTTGCTTAAATATGCACACCTGTTGTTTTAATAAGCGGAGATTCTTGGTAAAATCTTCGAATTGCATAAATGAAATTGCATTGTCCTTGTAAAACCAGAATTTTGGTGTAGAGGTTGGTACGAACTGTGAGATGACAGCTTCACTTACACATGTGTATACCTTAAATTTTAAATAATAAAAGGATCAAATAAATTAAACAAGGCAAGAACAAATGCTGATAAATAAGAGAAATAAGAACTTGTACATCAAGAGCAAGAAAATAAAAACAACCTTTGAATGCATTAGAGTCATTAGTTCCCGAATATTTTTTGACAAGGTCGATTCAGAATTTGCAGCTGCATTAAAAATAAAAGTGAAGAAACGCTGATAAATAAGCATAAAAAAACTAGCAATGCAAATAAATGAACAGAAACTTTCTCTAAGTTTGTATACCTTTGGATTTAATTGGGGATGCAGTCATCCCGAAAATTCGAGGAAGCTCGAGGCTACCACATCTTAATTGACGATGATAAAATTCCTGCACGCAACCGACAAAAGAAACTAACTACCAACCACTTCCATAGCTAAAACTAGTACTACAGCCTCGTGATGCAGATGAAGCATGAACGTTGTAGCTTACAATACATGGCTGTGATTGTTCCCACACTATAGCAATTACAACACTTACATAGCAAACTTAATAGAAAAAAATGATACAACTGAACAATATCACGAATTAAAATGATTTGCGATTGACAACACTGACTTCTATTATATAGCAACATAGTGCGGCAAATCTGTGAATGGATCTAAAAATCTTCTTCAGTTCATTATTTAGTCACTGGAAATAAATGTATACTAATATATTGCAACCAAAATATACTTTGGTAATAAGTAGATAAGTAGATATGAGACAAACATAAGTTAAGAGTACAACACTTACAGTCATGATACAAGCATAGGGGTGTTTTCCCGCAACATGATGGCATTCGTCCATTATTAAAACCTTTATCATATTTAGTTTGATAAAGTTGTGCCTCAAGCAATCAAGCAATATTGTTGGTGTCATTACAAGTACCTAAACATTCAAAAGCATTACAAAACAAGAAGATTTGTTATATGACACGAACGAAGAGATACAAAAAGCTCACCTCGTGCTTCCCCAATTCATTTTCCCATGTAGCTTTATCCCAAAAGTCAACACCCATGTCTCCCCAATACATTCCAACTTTCAAATCAGTGTGATTTCTCAAGGTTGTAGCTTGCTAGAATACAGAATTGAAGAAAACAAACAAGCAGGATGAATCCTCAAAAAGCAGATAGTAATAAAATGAATGATAAAATAAAAGTTGCAGCATACTTGAGAAACCAGTACAACTTTGGGAACCAAAAAAACAGCAATGTAAGGAGAAGGCTTTCGAAGGTGATGAGCGTAGCTTCTAAGAAGCATGATGGCTATCAAAGTCTTTCCAGAACCAGTCTCTAAATACACTATGGTATTCTCACGAATCGCTCTGTCCAACGCTTCAAGTTGATAACTAGACACACAAAAATCAATCAGGAAACACATAACATAAATTATTCCAATCAAGATGAGAAATGAAAGGATTGAACAAACCTTCTAGCAAAGGAAAGAGTGTCAGGCACAACGTGTGTGTGATTATAATGATCCATTTCCATGAGGGCTTCTTCCATGGTATTTGATGACACTACATTATCAAATAAAAACATAAGCAATGAAAACATGCATAGTGATAAAGTAAGAAAAAGCCAAAACAGTGAAAATGATGGAACCCTGGTGGGTGATTACGTAAGGGAGAAGGAGAGGAAAAGTAATGTTGGAAAAGAAAAAGCCAAAACAGTGAAAATGATGGAACCCTAATGGGTGATTAGGTAAGGGAGAAGGAGAGGAAAAGTAATGTTGGAAAAGAGCGAAGTAGAAGTTACAGATGAAGATGATTTATGATATATTGAATGATGATGTTAGTGGAAGCCAATGCAAACGGAAGTAAACGTTAGTCCCCCTATATTAACATAAGTAAACGTTAGTTCCCCCTACTTTACTCTCCCTTTCATTCAATAATAACATAAGTATGGGGTTACCTCCTCCTAACATAAATACTAGGGGGTTACCCTCTATTTAGTTAATCCCCTACTTATATTAGTAGGGGATAACCCCCTACTAATATAAGTATGGTGTTACCTCCTAGTAACATAAGTAGGGGGTTACCCCTACTTACATTAGAAGGGAGTTACCCTCTACTTATGTTAGTAGGGGGTTACCTCCTCCTAACATAAATAGAAGGTTAAGCCCTACTTATGTTAGTACCCTCTACATATGTTAACCCCCTACTAATTATGTGTATTAATAAATAAAAAATAGTTTTTAATAATGTGTTAATGGACGGTTAATGTGGTTATGATATGAGAGATAAGGTGACAAGACAAAATAGAAAACAAAACTTTTAAGTCTTAAGCTTATTTTAAAATGTAAAACCCTCATATATTATATCAAAAAAATAGGGTCAACAACATCCAAAATGTGATGTTCAATATTGGTAAAAATAAATGCTTGTAAATCCTAAGAGAAGAAAAGAAAGAGAATTCCTTAAGAGGCCAAGGGTTGGTCATAAGTCTTAAGAAGTCTAGGATTAGAGTGTCTTAGAGGTTGTTAGTCACAAGAGGTTGCTTGTGCATTGTATTGGTAGTCACTCGTTGGGAGCTTGTGCAGAATTGTTAGTCACACCAGTTGGTTGTACATTTGTAATCAAGGTTGATTATAATGGATTAAGTCCTCGACCGTACTGAGGCAAATCACCTGGATAGGGTGGACTGGAGTAGTTTGATTAAACGAACCAGGATAAAAATAATTGTGTTATGTCTATTGTGTGTTCCGGATATTGTAGAACTTAGGAAGAGTATTTTGGAAGAAGGACATCGTAGTGGATTGAGTATTCATCATGGTGCTACTAAGATGTATCATAACTTGAAAAAGTTGTTTTGGTAGCCGGGAATGAAAAAGGAGATTGACTTTATAAAAAAAATATTTTATTTTATTTTATTTTAATTTTGTAATTTAACTAAAAGTTTTGACTTTAATTTACATTTTAGATTTTATTTTAGTTTTTCGATTAAATTTAATTTAGATTTTAGATTTTATTTTAATTTAAGTTTTAATTTATTATTTTATGATTTTTCTTTTAAAGATTAATTTTTTTAATATGTAGTTTTAGTCTAATTATATTTTAATAAATAATTTAATTTCAATAAATAATTTAATTTTATATTTAAATTTTAAAATGGAAAATAAAAACAAAATGTTAATATTAACGTCAGTCTTAACTGACAGGAGAGTAAAAAAAAGTATACCTAAATTTATGGTAATCAAATGAGATTACACCTTAGGATAAAAACGTTATAATTTTCAAGCATCAATCTTTATTCAAATAAGATTACACCTACATAATTATTTAAGCTATTAATTAGATTTTAAAGCATCAGTATTTTGGCTAAGCAATCTTGGTTCAACTTAATTATTTAAACTATTTATTCAATATTAGGATATGACCTGCTCTTTTCAAGAGATTTTGACATAGCCATGGAAATTGTTTGAATGCTCAATTAACTTAAGTGGCTTAATAAAATGTCAAAAATATTATACTATTTGGACCGTCAACGGGCACCATAAGAATTTATTGAAGAAACATTTTTGTTTTTTCTCTATTGAAAAGAAAATGATTTTATGAAAAATATTCACTTTCTTTTAAGACGGAGAAGAAAAAATTAGGAGTATTCAATATTATGCATGTCGTGTGTACACCTATACTAAGAAATATAAATCATAATAGTAAATTATAAAAAATAATTAAAATTATACACATTTAAAAAAAAATAATGATTATGACTACTCGTTCGTAGCAATGTATGTTTATTAATGCTCTATAACTTTTGTCTCATATTCTTAATATTATTATTAAGACAAGTTGTGACTCTCAATAGCTACTACTGTAATAAAATTGCACTCGGTTACTTTGTCCAACTTTTTGGTGTTAGAATTTATATTGTATTCTACTTCTTTGAAATTACCTACCCATGGATGTATGCCCTTTGAAATAATTAATTAATGGTATGGTCAAAATGATTCTACGTCCCAAAGATAAATTGAAAGCAAAAAAAAAATCAATTGAAAAACTTAGCAACTTTTGCACAGGTTCGTAGCAATGTATGTTTATTAATGCTCTATTAGGGTTTATGCCCCTATGTTATATATAATAGGGGTTATGTTGCCACGTCCCAAGTAAACATATAATCCCTAATAAGGGTATAACCCCTACTAGACATATAACCCCATTAAGCATATAACCCCTACAATGGTCATAACTCCTTCAAGTAGGGTTTATGCTCATATGTTATATAGTAGGGGTTACGTTGCCGCGTCCCAATGGTGATGTGCCTTGAATTTAAGTTGGGATCATAAATTCGGTTATATGATTGGTAATTCACTGGGATCTAGTCCGTAAATGTCTGACCCTTCTAGCGAAATCTATAAAGCTAGTAGGGGTTATATGATCACGGGCCGAATATGAGAATTATGGAAGTAATGATGTTAGTGATATATTTATGTATGCATGGTTTTTGGTGATTTTGATGATATAACCATGTGTTGGTGTTATATTTTGATGATTAATAGCATGCATGTGAAATATATGTGTTATAATGATGTTTGAAGTGTTTTGAATGGTGAAAAACTGGTTTTGTCAGTTTTCACACTTATCTTCCACCAGTGGAAGTTGTATTGAAAAACTGGTTTTTTAGTTTTTGACACTTTTTACACTATACTTTCATCAGTGGAAGTTGTATTGAAAAATTGGTTTTTTGGTGTTTGACACTTTTTACACTATACTTCCACCAGTGGAAGTTGTATTGAAAAACTGGTTTTCTGGTTTTTGACACTTTTTACACTATACTTCCACCAGTGGAAGTTGTATTGAAAAACTGGTTTTCTGGTTTTTGACACTTTTTACACTTAACTTCCACCAGTGGAGGTTACCTTAAAAATTTGCTAAAAACTGGTTTTGTCAGTTTTTGCACTGATCTTCTTGGAAGTTACCTTTAAATTTGTCTGAAAGCCTTGTTTTTGTGAAAAATTTTCTAAACTTTGATTGATCGTATCTTTTGATCTGTGACTCCTTTTTGGATGCCGTTTTGGGCGTTATAAAGCTAATTAAATGTTTTATATATGTTTATAAATAGACGATGCCAGAAAATACTATGAACATAAAGTTATATTTAAAGTATTCACAGTGAAGTTGGTGGAAAATATTCACAGTGAAGTTGATCAAGTGTGGTTCAGTTGCCATGATTAAAAGTTAACCATCCCAAGAGTTTGATTGTAAAACTTTGAAAATTATAATACCTCAATATTAGTAGAACATAAACCTTTAAGATCCATTAAAGTTATTTGGTATACTGAACATGATCTTTTTTCCTTGCAGGATACCTTCTAGATGGAGCGGGAGGCACAGAATGCTTATTAATCCTCATAGACTTTCTAGGAGGTGGAGGCGGAGGCACCTCAGCAGCAGGTGGAGGCGGCACATCAGCAGCAGCAAGTGGAGACGGCACATCATCGGGTGGAGGCACATCAGCGGCAGGTGGAGGCGGAGGATGCTTATTAATCCTCATGGACTTTCTAGGAGGTGGAGGCAGAGGCACATCAGCAGCAGCAAGTGGAGATGGCACATCAGCAGCAAGTGGAGACGGCACAACAGCAGCAGCAAGTGGAGACGGCACATCATCGGGTGGAGGCACATCAGCTTCCTCCGCCACCCCCACACCATTCACATGGTATTATCTGAAAAAAGAAAGGAAAAAAGTTGATGAAGTGAATGTGTTAGTTTTATCTTTGTTGATAGGTCCATTTGGCTAGGCTGGAGAATTCTAACAGACTATGTCCAATATATAGAATTATGTTATACTATGTCCTTCTATAATACCAAAGAGTGCAAAAATTGTACCTGTGAGGGTTTCAAAGATCCTAACACACTCCAATCATTTCACTCCATCCTTTTAGCATTAAATCTTTGGATAGGCGGAGAAGGCAAATCATACTCTTTTGGCCGCAAGGAAGGGATTCTATCAAATACGGTCGCCTGAAATTAGTGAAGTAAAATATCAATAGTAGAAAATATCAGATATTAACAAAAAAATGGACATTAACTATTACCTCAAAAACTGGAGCACACCCGTTAAATGAAGTTTGTTTATGTGATTGATTCATGGCATCCTTAAGTTTACCAAAAGATAGATAAAGGTTATCACAAATTGCTTTTGCCCAATTAACTTTTTCAAATGCATCTAAATCTTCCACCATTTTCCAAGACGATTTACGGGGTCTCCTGTAGTCCGGGGAACTTATGAAAAATAGCTCTATCAAGTAAAAAGAAAGTAGTTTCCTAAATTACATTTACTCTCCTCCTCATTGACATCAATTTCACATAAAAGTTTTTTTATTTGTGTTGTTTGGATTTTCTCAGAACTACCTATATTAAATTTTGTCATCAGATCATAAACAAATTTAGGTAATTCCTTCGCAGCAGGGGCGTTGAAATCAACACCGGTATTTTTAATGGCAATGACTTTTGCCACTTCTTCGGCACAAAATGAAAATGATACTTTGTTAAATACAAAATTTTTATGTACCGGTTGGTACATATCACAGAAAAGTTTGATTAAGGGTGCTGAGCTCTCTTTATCATTTTTAATGTTTACAAAATTGTAAAACATTGAGTTTCGCATTAACTCTTTTTTTTCCCAGCTCAGATTAAGTTTTACATAGGTTTTCAAAGAGGCCCCAAGTTTAACAGGTTGTCGGTTTTCTTCTTCTCCATCCTAGAAAATAAAATCCAAGAAATACGTTAAGTAACACAATTCCTAAACGTGTTCATCAAAATTATATCAAGAAAAATACGTTTAGCAAATGACCATTCAAGTGTTGTAGATGCAAAATTTGAGTTTAAACCAATCAGCTAGGTGATATATGTAAAGAGACTAGGTGATCCAAAACAATCAGCTAAGATAGGAAGCTTCAAAGAACAGAAGAGGAAATGGAGTTATCCACATGATAGAAGTTAATTATGAAGTGTAGTTGACAGAAATGAAAATGAATAGGTGCTGAATTGCTATTCTTGTAGTGATGCAGGAAAAGTTAGTAAGAAATTTTAATGCAGTAACAAACAAATAAATAAATACGAGAGAAATCCCAAATGATCGGGAAGTTTGCATCATTACTCTATTTATTACAATTTTACTCGTAACAGAAACGATACTCTCTCTTCTAGAACTGCCACCTCACCTCAGCTAAGAACTCACTCCTCACTCGATACGACGTGTTTTCCCAATATCATCACGAGGCCTGATGAGTTGATGTGTGAAAATATGAACAAACAGTGGAGAACTAATAAAGAAATGGAAGGAAACTTCAGTGGAATTAATTGGAGAATCAATTGCAAGAGTAAGAGAATGGATAATAACAAAATAACAAACTGATAGTGACAGTCACTACCAGCCCCCTTAGCACGTAGTGATCCCAAATCACTGTGAAAGTGACCCCACACAATAACAGAATTCTAAGCTGCCTATTCTCTCTGACTCCAACCACTAATATAGGAAACCTCTTGTGCCATTCATGCAGCCACGTCATTATGCCTTATTCCTTTCCCTTTCTCCTGTAAACCCTCCAACCCTTTGGCTTGGGCCCACTGTCAAGGCCCACCACTTGATCCACCTTTCTATCAACTTCCGCCTCCATAGAAACAGCCTTGTCCTCAAGGCAAAAATCTGGAAATTGACCATGCAACACTGCATTATCTTCCTATGTCACATCCTCCCATGTCTTGTGCCTCCATTTAATGAGACTCTGCTGCACAGTCACTCCTCCCTTCATAGTCACCCTAGAGCCCATGACCTTCTCTGGATACACATCACTCTCATCTGTGAGTTCCAAATCTTTGGGAAGTTCCCCGAGAACCTGATAGTCTCCAACTGCTTTCTTCAATGACGACACATGAAAAACAGGGTGGATCCTGGACTGATCAGGCAGTTGCAGCCTATATGCCACTTCTCCAACCTTAGCTACAACTTTGAAAGGCCCATAAAAACGTGCCGCTAATTTTTGATTGATCCGTTTAACCACTGAATGTTGTATGTGAGGTCGTAATTTCAAAAAAACCCATTCACCCACCTGAAAACGCACATCTATTCTCTTCTTGTTAGCATAGTCCGCCATCTGTTCTTGAGCTCTTTGTAGATGTGATTTAAGTTGTTTTAGAGCCTCATCTCTCTCATTTAGCTCTAATGCCACCGCAACCACCTTATTCTCATTTGATAAAAACCGCAGAATACTAGGAGGATGCCTTCCATAAACCACTTCAAAAGGAGTTTTCCCAATCGACAAATGATAGGTGGTATTGCACCAAAACTCAGCCCAAGAGAGCCAATTTGACCAAGTTTTGGGTTGATCTCAAATATATTCAAGTACTAAAAATACAACCAACTACCAAAAGAAGGAATCTTAAAACAGTGTAATATACCCTCAATAAGTTTGTTGTCTTGGTTTATAAAACAAATCAGTGTTTTAAAATTTGAATGCATGCATGCAACAGCAAAATTCAATAGACACCTACGTAACAATCAACTCAACACATCTTTTTAGTACGAAACGGACACATAAAGAACTTTATGCATACGGGGAAGTTTCTAGTACGAAACGGACACATAAAGAACTTTATTTAGAAGAAGCTGAGTCAACAGAGAAGATGACCTCTACAACAGACAACAAAGTCGTTCTAAGGTAATAATTAAATTTGGTGTTGTCCTTGTTCCTATTTGGTATTATGAGTCTCTAACACTTTGATTAGTATCTAATTTAAAGACAAGAAGAGCCATTCGCAATGATAACACGGAAATCGTTCTCCAAACAGTTGCTGAATTCTCTAAGACCTACAAAAGAATGGCTATGACCCAAGTAATTAACGAATATGAATCCATGACGATTGCCAAAGAGATAGAGAGAAAACATTTAATAACCATCCCTCATAAAGAGGTTAGAAAAATATATAATTACAAGTGAAAAATAATTATGGTTAGTATTGCTCTCATTGTCTCAGCTCTCTTTTAAAATGTTCTTTAAAATTGATGGGATGATTGCCTTTATTTCCCTTTGAAATAATCACTCCCATATCAGATCCAACACCGGTCAAGTCAATATCATCAAGTTCCGCGAACTGTTTTGCTACAACATTTGGATAATGAGGCTCCACATAATTGTAGCAAAACAATGGGGTGACGATAGTTCGATATTGAATTTGATCATGCATGTCGGGAGGCAGCATTTGGTCAGTATAGGGATGCCAAGTAATGGGGAATTCTTCTATATTCTGTGTAATAGGCAGCATTTGGTCAGTATAGGGATGCCAAGTAATAGGGAATTCTTCTAAAAATTAAAATCAAAACCTACATAAGCTATAGAAATCATTTCTTACCTCATTATCCATATCCAGGAAGTTACGTATCAACTGAAACTTTTGTCCTAAATTATGATGGACTTTTCCGTGACGGTTTTTTCCGAGTGTGAAAAGATCCTTTATCAAATATGCCAATAGTGGCATATTAGGCATACGATCTTCCTCAGCAGTAACAGCAATAATATTGAGGATTTTATGAAGTCCTTTAAAATGATAAAAGAAAAATCCCTATGAAAAAACAGTTGGTTAAAAAGTTATCAAACAAAGATAAGAAAGAAAAAAAAGATATAAGAAAAAATATGCACTTACCATTATCAGCCATACAAAGTCGTCAACTTTCTTATTACGTAAATGATTCTCCTTTAGACTTTGATATAGAAAGGCCAATAGTGCCGCTCCCCAAGCATAAGAATCCACTTCGTCCAATTTTTCAATAAATTGGACGTATGTGGATGTATGAGTGGAAATGGTACCATGAAAATTGAGGGGAAAATTGAAAATGTGGATGTGTTAGTGTTGATTGATAGTGGTGCGAGCCACAATTTCATCTCTCCTCAAGTAACAAATGCGTTGGGGTTAGAAATCACTCTTGAACCTGCCAGGAGCATCAAACTTGGAGATGGACATAGGGTTAATTCTCAAGGGGTGTGCAAAGGAATTATAATGAAGATGGGTTCTGTGAAGGTAGTAATTGATGCGTTGGTACTGGATCTGGGAGGATTGGATATGGTGTTGGGAGTCTCATGGCTGAGCACACTGGGAAAGGTAGTAATGGATTGGAAGGTGTTGTCTATGCAGTTCATGTATGAGGGGCAGATGGTAAAGGTGTTGGGTCAAGGTAGCAGGCAAGAGGAGCATAGTTATCTGAACTCATTTTTGGAAGACAAGCAGAATAGGATGGGAACTGAATGGTGGTGGTCTAAGCATCACCAATTGGAACTGTGCCAACAGAATTAATTACAACTCTGGAACAATTTCCTGCAGTTTTTAAAGATCAAATTCAGTTGCCTCCAGAGAGATCTCAAGTACACCATATCAAATTATTTCCAAATCATGGGACAATCAATGTTAGGCCCTACCGGTATCCTCACCATCGGAAGGAGGAGATTGAGAAACAAGTGACTGAACTGTTGCAGGTAGGAGTGATCAGACCCAGTATGAGTGCTTTCTCGAGTCCGGTGATTTTGGTAAAAAAGAAAGATAAAAGTTGGAGGATGTGTGTGGATTATAGAGCTCTTAACAAAGCTACAGTTCCGGATAAGTACCATATTCTTTGGCATGCTAACCTAGATAAGATCTCTTCAGGTGTGCTCTCTTGAGTTTATTGGCTTGTTTGATTTATTCTGGTACATACCATGTTCCCTTAGGACGTGCTTGTTCCGTTCAGATGCAAGTTAGACCTTAGGTTGCAAATTATGCATGCCAACATTAGGTAGACGTTTCCCTTTTTGTTAATCCAAATCTTAGGACTACCATTGTATATAACATTAGGTTAGAAATAGGCTAGTCCCCCTTAAACTCTTTTCTTCCCCTTTTTGCATCCTTGCATCTAAAACAAAAATATCTTTTCTTAGCAAATCAAAAACATTCTAATCATACTTAAACTCTTTTTCAAGGTAATAAAACACAAATCAATTCAAACCATTTTGTGCGCTCCAGCACCTTTTCTCAAAAAACCCTTTTCAGGTAATGACATGATTAATTTACTTATGTGCCAACGCATAAGTCTCCAAAGGTCGAGCTGCGGCAGAAGGCGGAATTAACATTGTCTATTAAAAAACACAAACGAACAAAAACATGTGAGCCAAACTACGGTATCTCTGATTCCCCAAAAAGGATACGTAGGCATTGGGGTAGGGCCCAAGCGAGTACAATTTTATTTCCCCTACATTCTTCTCCCCTTTCTCTTGCATGCATTCTCCCTTCAGTAGTATAGTAAATAGTAAACATAGATTAAATACACCCATAAGATAGACAACAAGAATGGATACCGTAGAGTACTACGGGCGTGTGGGGTGTTAATACCTTCCCCTCGCGTAACAGACTCCCTTACTCGATCTCTCGATCACAAGACCGTGACTTCTTCTTTCTTAGGTTTTCTTGATGTTTACCTTTCCCTCCATATGGGATAAAAGACGTTCGATGGTGACTTCATTGTTTGATGATTTTCAGCCGGTTGTTTCAGTTGGCGACTTCACTGGGGATAGATCGACCAAATGCTGGTTCATCCCGGAGTCGCTCCTAGCTCTTGCTTTCTTTTCTTTGGGTGTTTAT